GAGGGAGAAGTCCCCATGTCCTTTGTCCATCCATCAGTCCAGCCCCCGCAGGGAGAGAGCCACATACATGCGGGACACAGGATGGCGAAACGGGTATCGGGCGTGGCCAAGCTGATGGCTGTCCTTCCCCTTTCCAGGTCGCAGCCACCCCCTACATCCCGGAGCTCGGAGCCTTGTGCCGGCAGGGAGAGTACTATGACAAGAAGACCCAGATGTGCTGCAGCATGTGTCCTCCTGGTGAGGGACAGCCCCTGCACCTCTGGCCCTCAGGCTGGCTTGGTCCCTGGGGGTTTGATGCCTTGGGGGGGGGGATGTACCTGGGGGGGCAGGGTCATGGCTCTTGATTCTTACTGAACTTCTAGTTCCATGAATCAGCCCCATGGTCCCCCTTGTTTCTGGGCCTTTGCACATGCTGTTCTCTTTTCCCAGCTCTCTTTCCCTGGTAAACTCCTACTTAATCATTCGACCTCAGCTTAGATGTCCCCCTCCTCCAGGAAGCCTGCCCATACTGCCTGGCCAGATCCCGTTCCTCCTTTGAGCTCCCAGTGGTCTGTGGCGCCCCCCTGGCATCAGCTCTTTTCATCCTGTGCTCATGGCCCGGCTTCTCTTTCGTCACCCCAACTGTGCGTCCCTCCAGGACAGTGACAGGGCTTGCTCTCCACTGAATCCCAAGCGCCTGGCACCATGCCCGGCACATACTGTGTGCTCAATACAGATTTCACTGAATCAGTGAATGCTTGCCCATTTCATAGATGGTGGACTTAAGGCCTAGCTCCTATTGGGAGAGCTTAGTGGCCCAACTCCCAGTGCTGTCCATCCATTCATTTGTTTTTCACTGCATTCATTCCTATAATATCGATAAAGCATCTACTAAGTGTCAGGCACTGTTCTAAGTGCATAGATGTGTGATCCTATCAGAGAGTAAGTGCTTTAAAGAAAACAAGGCAGGGTAAGGCAGATGGAGACAGCTGGAATGGGACATGCTATTTTTAACAGAGTGGTCAGGGAAGGCCTCTCTAAGGAGCTGGCACTGGGCAGAGTCATGCAAGTATACAGGGACCAGCATGCCAGGTGGGAGCCATAGCACGTGCCAAGGTCCTGAGGTGGGAGCAACGTTTGGTGAACTTGAGGTATAGCAAGACCAGTGTGTGGCCCAGAGTAAGTAAACAGGGGTGTGGTAAGGAATTTAAATTTTATCGTGTGGATCCAGGAAGCCATTGGAGCCCCACAAGCCATTAGCCTGAGATGTGGGCAGGAACATGTACCTATCACCTCCCACAGTCATTTTAAGAGACTCCAGGGGAAGTGACTCTTTTTTCTTCTATTCACTGGCAGGGTCTTTGTAAGAAGTTACTAGGTTAGTATAGCAGTGAACATGGCGGCATAGGGCTTAAGGCTCAGAAGAGAAACTCCTTGGTGTTCTCCCATCCCCTGGTATGCCTTGTCTCTAGGCCTTGATAGGAAACTACGCCACATTCCTACTTCCTTTCCCCCCTCTAGTTTATACTCCCAGTGGAGAATTTTAGCCAAATATAAAGGAGCTGGCAAACCAGTTCTCACTAAAGTGTGATTGACTAACAACAGACAGTCCCAATGGTGGAATTCCAGACATCTGGAAGGAGCAGAGGGGAAGATGTTTTATGAGCAGTGGGGGGTTCAGAGGTGGAGTGACAGCTGGCGACACTTGCTAGATGTGAGATGAGTTGATTGGAGGAATTGGAACCCCAGCAAAGAGCCTTCACAGCTCCACTACAGAACTCTGGGGTTCTACGGAACAGTGGATGAGCTCAGGGCCCGGGCAGCAGCCCAGCTCCACTGAGACCTCCGACCCTTGCTTTCTCAGGCTACCACGCAGAGTCCTTCTGCACTAAGACCTCAGACACGGTGTGTACCCCCTGCGAGGACAGCACATACACCCAGATCTGGAACTGGGTCCCCGAGTGCTTGAGCTGTGGCTCCCGCTGCAGCTCTGGTGAGTAAACCCACAGAGAGGGGTGGTCCCCAGCCTCCTCCCCTGGGCACCGTGCACTCCATCCCCTTTGGCTGAAAGCTGTTTTGGATTACCCCAGACCTGTTGTTTCCATGCCCCAGGGCACAAGGTTGCAGTGATAAACAGTTCTTTACTGTTTATCAGTGGCATTTTCATCCAGTCTCACCAAATCCCTGTCAATAGCCCCTTGGGGCAGGCGGGCCAAGAGCAGCGGTGGGAGAACAGCGCCCATTTTGGAGTTGAGGGAGTTGTGTCCTCTCATGCCGTGGAGCGGAACAAGACTGCAGGCCTCGGAACTCCGCGGCCAGTCTTCTTTTTGCCCCATGCTGGGGAGGGGCAGAGCTCTCCGGGGGCGGTGAGCCAACTGGGAGGGCAGAGTGGCATGGTGGCGGCAGGGCCAGTGGATGCAGGAATGACCCCGGGCTGCCTTCTCACTCCTCCAGACCAGGTGGAAACCCAGGCCTGCACCCGGGAACAGAACCGCGTGTGCGCCTGCAGGCCAGGCCGGTACTGCATGCTGGGGAGTCAGCAGGGGTGCCGGCTGTGTGCACAGCTGCGCAAGTGCCGCCCCGGCTTCGGTGTGTCCAAACCAGGTATGGGGCCAGGGTAGCCGGCTTTGGGGTCCCCCTTGAGTCTCTCCTCCACGGGCATCGGCTCATCAGCTCAGCCTGGGAACATGGCCGTTGGTGGCCAGGTGCCTGCTACCTGTCTTTCCACCTGTCCCTCACTTATTCTTTTCTCCAACATGCCTGCTTTCTCCAACATGCCTGCTCCCTACTGTAGGCCCTACTGTAGGTCCCATAATTAGGCCCTAAGCTACTGAAAAATCAGGCGGTGCCACAGGCAGATTAACACACGTAACGCTGGAGACCAGGAAGTCACTGGAATTGTTTAAAGGACAAACTCCCCAGCTCTGTGCGTGTGTGTGCCTGTATGCCTGTGTGTGTGTGTGTGTGCCTGTGTGTGTGTGTGTGTTCAGAGGCAGAGGTGCAGACAGAGGTCCACGGCCCCCTCAGACTTCCCCTAGGGCTTTAGCGCCAAGGCCTGCCTGTTCCACGGAGCATCTGAGGTGGTGACAGGTGCTACTTTTCCTTGAAGGAACTGCAACATCAGATGTGGTGTGTGCTGCCTGTGGCCCAGGGACATTCTCGGACACAACGTCATCCACAGATACTTGCAGGCCCCACCGGATGTGAGTGGCTGAATCCTTTGGTTCTGGAGGAGCAGGGGGGCTGTCCCTGGGTGATGGAGGGGTCTAGAGCACCAAGTGGCTGTGCCATTGGTGCCTGAAGTCCCCCACTCACGCCCTTGGGCTGAGGCATTGCCGAGCCCTGTTCAGTGCCTGGAGGGGTTAGTCTGGTGGAGGGCGGGTCCCAGGATGGCACAGTGAACAGTAGCCTTGCCCTGCAAGTCAAGACTGAGTGGGGAGCATGCGGCGAGGTGGGGTGAGGACAGGCAGGGGCGGTCCTAGCAGATGGCAGGGTATGTATCACTCCCCCATCCCAGCTGCTGGGACCCTTGCCCACAACCGTCCTGCCTCCCACAAGTGAGCCCAGCCACACTGAGCCACTCTGTCGTCTGTTGCCCCCTGACCAAGCCTCCTCCTTCCCCAGCTGTGAGTCGACAGCCATCCCTGGCAATGCAAGCATGGATGCGGTCTGCGCGTCTGTGCCCCCCACCCTGAGAGTGACCCCAGACTTATCCCTCATGCCCCAGCTGGGGTCCACAAAGTCCCAAGCCGTGAAGCCAACTCCAGGACCCAGCACAGCCCCAAGCACGATTGTCCTGCTCCCGGCGGTCCCCAGCGCCCCTGCGGAAGGGCTCAGCACAGGGAACATCTCTCTTCCGATTGGTGAGTCGCAGGAGGACCCATTCATCCTTCCTCCCTCCTGTCTCAGAGACTTTCCCAGAGCCTGCTGTGGGCTGGATGTACCTGGTCCTGGGATGCAGGTGGCGGTGAGACTTGTCTTCTCCCAAGACCTGGTACTGTCACTGAGAACCCCCAGGTTGAGAGGTGGGCTCAGCTTTTATCTCAAAGTGGAGATGGTCTCCTTGGTTGTTGGTTTTGATGAACCCGTTAGGCTGTGAAGACAGTGGGCTGGGCCATGTCACCTCCTGGGCTTTCCATCTGGGGTGAGGACCGAAATTCCCAAACTGGTGGCCCTCTCGCCTGTTGGGCAAGCAGTTTTTGGTTTGTTTGTTTTGTAATTGAGTTAGAGACCTCTGGATGGAGCTTGCCCCTCCCCTGCGACAAGCCGACCCATCTTTGCTCACTGGCTAACCTGCTGGGCCCCTGGTATATTTGAGTTTGCTTTTTGCAGCTGTTTGAGCTTCTCTTTTCCTTCCAGGACTGATTGTGGGTGTGACAGCCTTGGGCCTGCTGCTAATAGGGCTGCTGAACTGTGTCATCATGACTCAGAAGAAAAGTAAGATTGCATTCCGTTTCCCTTTGTCCATTTGTTCATTCATCCATTTGTTCAGGAAGCGTTTCTGGGGTGCTCCGTATGCGTCAGGTGCTGGGCGCAGCCTGATGGGTCAGACAGAGCTGGATGCCATAGACTCGGGAGGAGCTTAGAGCCCAGGGAGAGGAGAGGGCGCCTCCGCTAACTCATCTACTGAAAGGCAAGACTGCCCGGCCGGGCGGGGCTCAGCGGCTGAGCGTCGACCTAGGATCCAGGCGATCGGGGTTCGATTCCTGGTCAGGGCACAGGCCCGGGTTGCGGGCTTGATCC